AATTCATAATATAATGTTGCTTGATTTAGTTTATTTGTATGAGGATGTGGATGAAGACAAGAATGGCATACACACCCGCACTTGCATCCAATGATGCCAATGTCTGTATTTCTGTTTTTTTTATCAACGCTGCACGTTTCTAATAATGGATGATTATTTAACGAAATAAGATATTTTAGTTTTTCATCTGAGGACACATTGATTATATAGAACTAGATATAAAAGTTATATCTCAAAAACCAGATAAATTTACAAAATGACCTAATATTTAGTTAAATTCACAATCGTCGAATGTGAAAACCTCATAGAATAATTGTTTAGTAGATAAGTGAATACTATATTGAAAATCAGTTGTCAATGGAGATTTCGAAGAAAGAATTGGTTTGGAAAATTGAAGAAGCAGAAAAACAGGAAAATCTATTTGATATTCTGAAAAAGTGTATTTTTTTCGAAAAACATCGTTCTTTAAAATTTTTAACAGTTTGTGACTTGAAAAAAGTGTTTAAAAAAAATTTAAAATGTTATTTTTTTTAATACGTTCTTTCGAATGATATGTAATTTAATAGAAAGTAAACTTAGGCTCACTATTTGAATTTCCATCTACACCCCAAATACTAGTGATTTTTCAAAAAAAAAACAAATTGCTAAGTTGGAATACGGGTGTGGTGATTGGAACTAAAGCTTTGCCAAAAGGTCCTATCATAGAAAGTATTGTAGAGAAAAATTGTGAAGAGAAAAAGACCTGAAGGACACTTCAGAGCATGTGAATAAGACATTTTATTCTTAATTCGTATGTGAATATTTTGGGAAATATTAAATGTACAAATTCTCAAGTTTTGAATTGCCGTATTTTTAATGTCAAAATTCGACTTCATCTCGAGTTGAGCTCAGGCTTCTTATTCCCATGCTCTAAAGTGTTCTCTACAAGTTATGTTCTCATCCTTTTTTCATACAATTGTCCATTTGATTTCAATGTGGGTTTGAAGAAAAAAAAAAAAAACTCTATTTCCAATAGAAATGGAGTCTTTAGAATTATTTATTGATATATATACATGTGTATGAGACGATTGCAAGCAATTTGTATCGTTTGGCTTCAACTTTTTTTTTGAAAATTTCATTTATCAGTGAAATGATTTCGCGTATTCGGGTAGATAGTGCTACTAGAGAAATGAAAAAGGCCAGTAGTTGTCCCATTACTGTTATCAAGAATAGCCGAAATTTCGAAAAAATGGTATTTTTAAGCTTATTTTTGAAAATCACCGAGTCATCGTAAAGATACAATAGGAAGTGCTGAAAGCCTCTGTTAGAAAAACGGATCGACGATGGACCTAAGCGAAATCATAAGCTATCCAAAAATATCCCAAAAAGAACGTGTACATGTTAATCTTTTATTAAGTCTGTGTTTCAAAGAATATGTTCTGTTGATGCATAGCATAAGGAACGAAATAAAGGCTATTTTAACCTAAATAAACTTGCCATTGTCGCTTGTAAAGGATTTTACACATCTATTTAGATGAGTCTTTCACGAAGTTTTCAATTCATATAAGATACATCTTGGCTTCGTCCTGTTTTGGTGGAAAAAAATCGATTTTACTGTCAAAAAATTGTGACGAGACCTCTAGCAACAGACAATAGGTTGGTGATTGATTTTAGCAGCCCAACTAGCTACATCTATGAAGTATATTTTCTGAATAAATCGTTGAATTTGACTGAGAATCTACATGATATAAGTTTAAACATGTAATTTTTGTTCAAATAGTACAAATGGTTTGCAATCGTCTCGTATATGTACATGCTCCCTTTTTTCAATGGTGGGTCTAGCAAGCCTATAATATATACAGTAGCAAATCATTCTAAAAGATAGGGTGTAGATGAGTGTGGGTATGAGTGTTGATTATCTTGGTCCTTGCATGCATACCCACATTCACATTCTACACCCATATCTCACATCCACACTGATTCACACCCACACCCACATCTAAGAATATCTAAAACAATATTTATTATTTAAAATGAAAGTGTATTGATGCTAGATGTTCGAATAGTAGTGGTGTTAAATGTTTAACAAGGTGGTTCGTTGGGTTTTGCTTCGGGATCGATTGGATAAGCTGGACATGAACATTTACAAAATCTTATTTTTCCATATTGATTCAATGGACATTGTAAATCACAACCGAAACATAGATAGACATACCATGTATTAGCATAAATTTCACATTTATTTGTAATTTTCGAGCAACCACCCGGTGAAGTCCATTCACCATTGACATCATAATCTGTAAAAAAAAAGACGTGTCATATGTATATAATTTTCTCATCTACAAAGTCACTTACTTCTAAATCCAGTTCTTACACTATCATCTCTTTGACCATATTGTCTTCGTGCAACAACACGAAAACTTCCTGTTCGATTATGTCGTTCATAACAAATGGGCACTTCTTTATTACTGATAATAATACGATTGTTATTATTTTCGCTTAAGTCTAATGTACAAGCACTCATCATTGTACCAGTATTACATTTCGTTGAAAGCTCAGTATTTGTTAATTCTGTGGGACATACATTCACATTTTGTAATGTTATATCATTTGCATAAGTCCATCTGTAAGCGACCGATTGAACAACAACTTTAGCTGAGAGTGTCATATTTCTTCGTTGTTCTTGAATTTGATATGCATCTGTTTGACGAATGACACTGTTTGCTTTCATACGTCTTTCTATTGCTTGTTTTAAATTTCTTTTTATCACTTTATTTGATATTAAGTCATACCAAGGCAAATATTTTTCAACAGTTAATAAAGCCGGATTATAGACGATCGTTTTCTTCCATTCATCAGTATTATTTATCAAGAGAATATTACCACCAATTCTATGATCTAATAACTTTTTACGTCTCATATAATAAAATTTATCAAGACATGGAGTTTTTTCTAATAGTTCTTGTTTCAAATTCTCTTCAAATAGAGATTGAGAGAGTCCATCAGTGATTTCAGTTGTATCCATCATACAACTTTTAAACAGAATTTGTTGTTCTGTCATACCACCGACTTTTGTTGATATAGTAATATGTGTTCCCCAAGCTGCTATGAAATTTTCATAAAGTTCATCGTTATATTGAACTGTTAGAGCATTAACTGCTCGTTGAGCATATTTATTTAATTTTAATAAATGAACATTATTTTTTATTGTTACTGTATATTTAGTCTTCAAATCTTGAGTTATTGCTGTTGCTTGATTATCTTTGAAATACTTTTCATAAACATCAAACATATTTTGAACATATGCTAGCTGACCACCAGTCCATGTGCCAGCTGCTGCATTCTTAAGCCATACATCAACCAAATCAGTTTCTGTATGAAATATGAGAACATTAATAGAACTTTCATTCAATGATGGCTCCGTTAGTGTTATTTCTGGTGGAATGAGAAATGTTTGCTTTGATTCATTTTCTGTCCATTGGCGATTACCTGTAGATAGTTGCAAAGCTGGCAGTAAAAGGTCACCAGTAGTCACGTCAATGGCCATACCTACACTGTGTGGTAGTTGTAAAACAGCTGCTAATTTTCTGGATGTAATATTATTAGATATCACAGCTTTATCATCACCAGGACAAAACATTCCTTGAAAACCAATAATTGGACATAAAGCTGCTCGTGCACTGGTTAAATTAAAAGGACTATCAGTAGATTCAGTTTCATTTAATAATAATTCTGTTTCGTTTAGATTAGATAGTTTATTGGACTGAAATTGCGAGCCACAAATATTGATTGCTATGACTTCAAGATAAAATATCATCCACTGTTGATTAAACATTCTACAAAAGAAAATATTCATTATCATTGTAGAATAATATCTAGTTACCTGGTTTGTCTCTTAATTTATCTCATAATGACTTGAATATTTACAAAAAAAAAATTTAAATTACATCTTTTCCACCATCACTGTATAGATCTGTAAGATTCTATTTTACTTCTATATTTCATGGCTCGAAAAGTTCGCAATCAAATAAATATTTAGTTACTGACGATAACTTGCTCTAAGCTGTTTATTCTATGGGTTTATTCCGGTTTTTTTGATTGAATAGAGAAATATGATTACGCATGATTATATAGATTATTATTGAATCGAAAAATCTTTGCATGTTGGAAAAAATAATTTAAAAAATTATTGACCAATATATTTTTTCCATTCTTATGTTTACTTAAGAAATTGAATACAAAGTGTCTATTGTGCGAAAACTGATGCACATTCTCGAAGAGAAAAATAAATATTGTATTAGTATGAAAGAACACAGTCTTTACAAATGGTTTTGAGGATCTGTAATACATTAGCCTAAAGTAATTTTTTTTACCTCCTAATTCTGTTTAAAAGACTAAAAATAGCATAAGATGATTTGTTTCTATACCATGAAAAAATTATCATTTAAAGAGTCTCATAATTCAAATTTAATAATCAGATAAAAGCATATTATTGTCATATTTTTATCAAGCTTCATTAAGCATTGTCTCTCAAAATTGTTGAGAAAAGATACAGCTCTTAACAACCTATTTTTACTCTGTTTATTTTTCTTTTTTCCTATTTTCCACCGTTCGATGAAAAACCATATTACATTCGTTCCAATAAACAACACAGAAGTAAATTTGCATGATATAAAATGAATAGAAACTGCGTCTAACTTTAATGATTATTCATCCTTATATAATTCTATTCGATTTTTATCTATAAATACGATTAAAATATCGAACATGAATTCACCACTTCCCCTCTAACTGTTTACGAGTAATAATAATAATTCAACGATCTAGCAGTTCAAACAAAGCAATATCATTTTATTAGTATACTAGAGGTATGTGCCACATTTGTTTGTAATCATAACTATAATATATATTTATGAAAGAAAATGATGTTAAAACTATTATGCTTAATATTGGTAACAATCATTACAGCAAAAGATCTACCTGGCTTAGATTATCTGGAATCTGGTTTCGATGCCTTAAAGATGATTAGTAATAATGAAAATGTTCAATCATCAGATCGATCAAAATTTCGTTTGTTTGATTTAAGTGAACTTGATGGAGACGACTATATATTGGAAGTAATAAACAAAACTCAAACATTTAAAACACCAAGCGTCATTCAAGTTACCAATATCAATATGAACACTCGTGTCAGTGTTGAATCTGTTTCATATACGTATCAAGAGTTTTTTCGAAGGTAACTATCAATAATATAAAAGCTATTATTCATGAATTAAATGAAGAGAATGACTATCTGTTTTACAGTTATTTTAACTCCTATTCATTTGGTATTTCAATACCTATTGGACCAGCACAAATATCACTTGGTTACCATCGAACATTGAGTGAAGCCTATCAAACTATAAATAAATATCAAACGGCTATTGGAATATCAACGGATTGGTGGGGAATGTTTTCGGTTCAATTGGCACCAGTTTATATTCTGAAGTATGTGTTTACTGCTATAATTCATACTACTAACTTCTCTCAAAGCGTTTTAAATCCAAAATGTGAGAAGTGAGATGGAATATAGAAGATAAAAACTGAGAGAAATACGAATTTAGACAAAAATTTAATGATAAACGACAAAGAACTGATTGAGAGAATTGAGTGTAAAAACAAAACATCTGTCCTTAATTATCTTAATCTGTTCTTTCACTTCCTAGTGCAATGACTAGAGAACGGAGTGGAGATTAATGAGAAATGAACTGAATTTTTTTTTCTTGATTTAGTGTTCATACTTCAACACATCCATTTTCGGTATAATTTCGACAGGGAGAAGAAAAAAGAATTTTCAATTTCTTCTCTAAATTATTTACGCATTTCGCTGAAAGTTTACAGTTATGGTCATTTCCTAGGAAAAGACTTTTATCATTGTTTGTCAGCATATTCATATTTTTGCTCATTTTTTTTTTGAGAATTTAAACTAGAAGTCTAAACAGATCTATTGTATATCGGCCTGACCGGCCTATGACAAACTGTAGAACCTGTAGCTTGCCTGCATCTGTCATGTGCTTCCCTTGATCTGGCTTTTGTATTTGTTTTTCTATGCTAATATTTTGAAGATATTGGAATGGAAATAGCAAAATATCTTGATAAGAGAACAAGGAAACTTTATATATCGAAATGAGACTATTAGACAAAACATTTATTTAGTACACTAGGTACCTGAAGAGAAAACGTTAGCAGAAAATGCTTATGTTGTTTTATCTCTTTAGATTTGATCCGATATTCAATCGTAGTCTGTCAAAATTAGTCGCTAATCCGACAACAGAAACCATGCAAATGTATTATAATCAGCTGATATCTACATTTGGTACACATTATACTTCGTCAATTATTGTTGGTGGTAATGTGGAAATGTTCACTAAAGTCAATAGTGAATATCAAGAAACTACTAGTAAACAATCAATTTCACAGCAAATAAGCATTGGCTTCGACTTCCAAGTGTATAAAATGTCAACTACTATTGATATTGGTGAAGATATTGGTGTTACTACCGAAGACTTTAAAAAAAATACACAAATAGAAGTTAAATTCTCTCCAGCGGTAATAACAACACCTCAAACAAAAAATAAACAATATGATATTTGGTTAGACCGAGCTTCATCTACACCAGTAGTTGTTAATCGAACTCTATTACCATTGGTAGATCTATTGATCGAATATCCGATTGAAATACGACGTCATCTACAATTGACTATTGATTATTACCTGACAAATGGCATGTTACCAACTATCGATCAACTGACGAATGTTGAAAAGCGTAAGAAACGTGCAACCAATGATCATAATACCTTACCAGGTTTAGATGTTGTCGGATGTGGTTATGATATTTTCTCATTGAAAAGTAAATCTTGTCTACTGAATATAACGATGAATGATAATACAACATGGTTAGATCTATTGAATAATTTCATGACATATAAAGTTCCAGATGGATATTTTGTGACAAGTACTAAAGATTTATTATCAATGTCAGATACAAAATTTTTTAATACATTCAAAGAATTCATTACTGATTCATATATAACAAATCAATATGATTCATTTGGCTTCTTAGGTTTTGGAGCATCGACGGACCGACAAGAAATAAGAACGAGATATCAACAGTTTTATCAACACAAATATCGAATGGCATGGATGAAACAACAGATCATTTGGTTTACATTGGCTGCAGTAACATTTCCTCCGCCCAGACTTAATCGAATTGCTCACTTGTCCATTTCGAGTTTACCTACAACATTCGATTCAAATTCAACTGATCACAAGAAATTTCAGCAATTTTTCAATGCCTATGGTACTCATATTGTTGTTCGAGCTGATATAGGTGGTATGTTATGGGCTGAAGACTATTTTGAGTCGTGTTTAATCACTAAAATGACTGAAACATGGATTCGACGAGAAATTACCAAACGTTATTGGTTTTTTGCTACAAGTCGAGAAATCATTGACATCTATCACAAAGAAGTTGACAAAGAATATCAACAGAATTCGCTATCCTCTCTCAAGGTTATTGGAGGATTTGCTTCAATACATCCATTCAATGGTTATACTTGGCTTCCGACGATCAAAGACAATCCAAGTCCAGTTACATATGTATTACAACCTATCTATACACTTTTACCACTAGGTGCACAGCGTGATGCATTGAAAGAAGCAACATTCTACTTTCGATCGGCCATGACTAATAAATCAAATTTATATATTCAACGGTTAGAATCTGAAACAAGTCCACCGCCTTTACCACAATTGAAATGTACTGAACGGCGTCGACGAAGAAAACGTTATATTCAAAAATTATCCTTTTTTACGTAGGGCATACCAAAATTAGTGGTGGAAATACTGTAATCTTTATAACAAACTTATATTAATTTTCTGTCTATAGAGACTGACACTAAAAACGACGTTCTATTTTTCTACACTATTTTATTATTCTTTAATTAATATCATAATAATAAAATGTCAATAAAACCCTGTTTAATTATGATGTGTAACGGTTACATTAGTTCATATTGTCTTCGATATGTATTCTCTACTCGATTTTCTCTTTGTTCTTCTCCTCTTTTTTTAAAATTCGTTTTCTCGTCCTCTCTAATGCGTAGCTATATATATAAATATTAAGGTATACAACAAGCACTGGTGGCGAAACAAAAATGAAATACAAAAACAAGTCGTTCGTGCTTCGTCTTCAACCTCTTAGCGATCTTCACGAAACCATTTAGACCATCTTTCAACTGTCCTAAGAAAAGTTGTTTTATCACCATAAATAGAACATAATTCATCATGAATAACTCTTGCTTGAATCTTAAGTGCAGTACGCACTTTAATATACAGAGGCAAAAATTTTTTCTTATTCGTCTAAAACAAAGATAAATAGTGTTACGAATATGTCTTTGGTTTTTTTTATAAATTTCGTTATTACAAAAATTTTACACAAAATTACAAAAGATAATCTTCAAGCTGGATATAAAGTGACTTTTTGAATTTTGTTATTGCTATAACTCAATAAAAACTGAATTGCTTAAAACAAAAATTGAACTCCTCTCTTTCAACTCATAGAGTAGAGCAATCTCTCAAGAAATCAAGCGAAAATCTTTCTTATTTCGAGAGTAAATTTAGTTTTACTAACAAAGCATCGAACGACATTTTTTGCAATAGTTATACACTAAGATTGATTGATATATGAAAATAACGTACAGAAATCGACTCCGATATAGGAAAGTGTTGAGAAAATATTATTTTCATACACAATCGATATCGTTTTATAAAATACAACACTTAGTTTTCTCTTATTATTCAATTTATTTTCATCGATTTTTTTCCTTCAACGGTGCAATGACTGTGCTCTTCACTCATATCTATATGTGTAGATGATTAGATATTAAGAAAAAAGAATAAAGAAAATTAAGAAGAGAATACATATAGACTATAACACAAAAAACATGTGACCGAAAGATGATTTTAGCAGACGTAAAATTTTATAACTTCTTATCGTAATAAAGATTCACAGAACAACACTAATAGTATTTAGCTTCAATTGTCAATTACTAAATAAATAAGTTTAACACTTCACCATTTCATATTAATAGTAAAATAACTGTGCCGTTAATTCGATGCTGAACAACAAATAAATTACAGTATTAGGTAATAAAACAAAATTTCAATGTTTTTTTTTTAATGAAATGCATTATTTAAATATACTACTATTAAATTTTATGATTTCTGTTCGTTTTCTCTAAAATCATAAGCATGTTTCATTAAACAGTTCCAGATATTAAACGTTTCGTAAACTCGCGTAGATCATAATCTATGTCTTATGTTGTTCGGTAAAACATTCTAATATATAGAAATGCGCAACTATTCAGTATATTCTAGCAAATACAAATTTCTATTTTTGTTTGATTTGATGAGAGATTTAATATCAGTGTAATGACTAGAGAAGTTTTATTTTTTGATAAAAACATTCAATAAGATAAATTACAACATATAAAACAAAAAAAAAACAACAAAATATTGAGATTGCACAACAAATGACTGACAAAAACACACAATGATCACAATAAAAATAATCTTTTAGATTTAAATATGCTCATGATGATGATGATGATGTGAATGTGAATGTGAATGCGAATGTTGACATTCACCTTCACATGGTTTAAATTGTACTCGTTGACGAATAGATAATGGTGTATTTTTTGATGAATGAATAATACCATTTGTTGGTGTTGTTGATAATAAAGCAGTTGCTGCAGATATTGATTCATTAGATAGATGTTTTTCTGATTGATATTCATCATTTTCATCCAATCTAAATGATTAAAAATAAATTTTCAAAAAAAAAATACAGATGTAAACACATACTTCCAATCAGCATGTGTCACAACACCAATACCAACAAGACACATGCCAATAAAAATAACCAAACAAAAAACAACTGTAAAATTGACTAGAGGTTTCTATTAAATAGAAATGAATTATTAAATTTTGTAGAAGGAAGAAAAAAGATCTCTCTTACACGATATGTTGGTAAATCAAAATATTTATTGGCTGTTAAATAAGCACAAACTTCAGCATGCATTTGATCTAAACATAAAAACAAACGTTTTTTTCCCTTCCCAATAATTCATTCATATTCAAAATAAAGTCTTGTAGTTCAGTGTAATTTTTTGGGTATAACTTCAATTGAAATGTGTTCGAAGTCCGAATATCAAAATATTGAATTTTCGAAATAAAAACTTTCTTTTTCCTCTTTTCAACTGACACTCTATGATAACTTATTGCGATCTACTCCTACAATGAATCTTCTTCTTATGTATATCATAATGATGGGACCAATGTTTTCCTTCAAAATTGCTTCCATCATTTTTGATAATCTAGTTATAGTAAAAAATTGAGTCAGACCAATTGTACTCTCGCAGAAAATCAGAAGTAGTTCAAAAGAGAGAAGTACCTTTAATAGAAGTGAAAACGCCCTTTTTTTCCGTACTAAATACTCACGTTGTAATTTAACTCGTGTATCATAATTAACATTTTCTGGAATACATTGATTAATAAGTGACTAAAAATTATTGATATAGAACAAATAAAAATTTCTTATTAAAAATAAATCGTTTATTTACAGTACAATGAGTTCGTAAAACCGTAAGTTGTTGTTGATTAATAATTTTTCTTGGTTTTCCTTTTGTTCCTCGAGAATTACGTGTTAATGGATTTAAAAATTTGAAAGATTTTTTTCGTCGTTTTAAAACATCACATCGAAAAATCGAACAATAATCCGATAGACATATTGATTGTTCACTCTAAAAAATATAAATTTTATTTTCATAATTCAAAAATTTAAAATAAAATCTTCTTACTTTTAATAATGTATCATTATGTCGATTAACAAAATGCATATCAAGATAATATTCGGAATAGAATGTTTTATTACAGTATTTACATAACCATTTATCTTTTGATATTTTCATTTTATTTAATTCTTGTCGATAAAAAATATCACGCACTGGTGAAAAAACACATTCAAGTGGAATTGCTACATGATTTTTTTCATAAATTGGACCAAGTGCCTATATGTTGTTATTTTTTAGAAAAGAAATAAATTTAAATTAATTGAAAAAAAAAACAAAATTACTCGTGTAAAATAATCACGAACAATTCGACTGCCTTCACGTGAACATGGTTTATTACAAAGAATGAAAGAACACTGAAAAAAAAAAATTTAAAGGTTAATAAAAAAAAACAAAGAAAATAATCATATAGAAAATTTTAACCTACAAGATCCCAAAAAAGAATAAATAAAATATAAATATTCATTATATTAGCATTATATCTAAAACACATAATGTTTTTCTTTCCAGTTTTATTAGTGTCATGAACATAAATAAATAAGAATTTGATTAAAAAACAGATTGTATAGACAATCTTTTTAATATATATATATATCACATCTAACAAATATTGAGAATAATACAAAAAAAACACAATCAGATCTTTTGTTCGATTGTTATCACAAATAAATAAATAAAAAATCATTGTTGATCAATTAATGTATTGACGTTTGTCTTAAACGGGTTTCATCTGCGACATAGACGGATGGACTAAAAATAAAATTTATCAATTAAGTTCAATCTTACCAATATTTTGTCTAGATAAACTCAATAAATCTTAAATTTGTAATAAAGTCTAACGTGCTATTTTAATGTTTCTCTTGAAAACAAAAAAAAATCATCCCTTTTTTTTTTAGTTATAGAAATGTTGCACCAACTTTTCTGAATTTGTTGCTATTTCTTGTGTATCAAAAGATAAGTTTGTAGACTGATGATTTTGTTGTTCATAATCAATATGATTCGTACTTGTTAATGATTTTTTATGTTTAGATGTATATTCAAAATAACTAAACATTGTACCAGCCAATAATGATAATACAATACCAATAATTGTATTGGTATTTATTGACAGTCGATCAAATACAAATAAACCAAAAAATACTTGTAATATACTTTTTAGTACACCAATCACACTAAATTAAAAAAAGAAAATTTTTTTCTCCGTTTCTATTATTAAACATCAGTTTATATAAAAAACCTTGTAGTTAATGCTGAATTTTTCATTATACACCAAAATGTAGCACCATTAAGTAAACCTCCACCGAATGTTGATGATAAGAAATATAACCAAAAAGAAAATGTTTTATAACCATTATATGATTGTACATTGGATAATTCATCAGAAAATATCAATAGTATAATAGATACTATTGGTAATGATACTAGACTATTAATATAGAGAACTTCAGAAGATGTTTTTTGTTCACTACATCGTTGTACTGTTAGAAGATAAATTGATTGAAATATAACACTTAGACTTCCAATTATATAAGATTCAAGATGAAAAGTTAAATCACCAATTGATGTTATTACAGCACCAGATGTCATAGCTAATACACATAGTCCAGTTTTCAAATCAAGTTTTTTCTTTTTTAATATAATAGATTGTAAGAGAAATGTAAGTGCTGGTGTACAACGCTATAATACAACAATATAAATATTAAATTCAATAATGATCAACAGAGAGATTTAAATTATATATCAGTTTTCTAGTTAATTGTTTAATCTATATGATTTTTGCATTTTTGCATTCTCATTTCTAACCATTCTAACCAATTGATATATTAATAAAGAGCTTCTAATCTTTCTCTGAAATCTCATAGATCTGAATCCTTTGTTTTTCATTCTCATAGAAACATATTTATAATCAAACGATATTTGCAATCTATTCTCATTCAGCAATATCTGGTCTTAATTTTCATGGACAAG